ATGAGAATTAATGAGCTGTTTAAATTACTGCCCACAATCACTAAACTGTAGCATAATAAATGACAAGAGCATCTCCGTTATTTCCAGAAGAAATAAGAAGAAAATATAGAGAAGTGCAGGAAAAGAATATTGGCTTTTAGAGGGGTCATAAATTGAGAAATCAAATTTTCCCTGATCATTTGACAACAAGATTTGTTGTCACTATATTATAAGTCACTATATTATAAACATACTGAATTTAACTTTCAGAATTCAAAAATTTCTCAAAAAAGTAGCTTTTACAACTTGTTTTCTACTTCAGTTTTTATTACATAGAGATGAAAGCAATAAAAAAAAAACTTTATAATCACTGGAGCTGTCAATCACAAAGGGCGAGCTCAATGAATGCACTCATCCATTATAATAAATGATACAGTCTACACTGCTCAATTTATCTCTTATTTACATTGTGTTTGCTCTGTGTTAGTTATGATGAAAGCATTCCTGAGAGTGCAGAAATTGAGTCAGAACATACAAAATGTATGCTTCTTGAAAAAAAAAATGCTATAGTCAACACTTTTCATGATTAGTTAATCTCGGCATCTGTATTAAAACATTTCAAAACAGTTCCACATGTAAATATGTTACCCAAACATAGCATTTACATTGAAGACTTAAAAAAGATGCTTCCCTTGTAACACTGTTCAAATCAAAGTGCTAAAATCAGGATAGAAAATGGCCTTTCATTTTCTAAATTATGTTTTTAATGTAAAAATCTTTTTCTTGCTGGGACAGGAAGTAGTACAGATGGAGGGACAAAAATCAAAGCACACTCCAAATCTAATGCTCTCACTCTGTGTTGACCAAATATATTTGAGGACAGTCATTTAGGGAGAGTCATCGCAGAGTACATCATGTGTGAGAGGCATTTAAAACTTCTTGGCTTAGAGTGGTTGTTGCGTGGAAAGAAGAAGTGGGGCGCTATCAGAGCAGTGCGAAGGAGAAGTGAAGCAGCACTTACTTTCACCTTAAATCTTTCTCAAGCTGAGTGTGTGTATGATTACGTGTTCGTTGGGGAAGGAGGCGTGGATCACTGTCAGTGTTGCTTCCTTGGGGGAGATTAATAATTCATGAGATGATTGGTGAGACTCAAAAGATTCGCCCGGTGTGTCAAGACTTCGTTACATGTCTTTGCATGTTTGTATGCCCCAGCGCAACACGTAACATAAGATCTCTTCATAAATATTAAATGGACTTTTTGTCTTCAGGTCTGTCACCACTGAAGCTTCAGAACATCTTGAGTGTGTTAGACAGGCTACTACTCAAACTTTTTTCAAAGAACAAGTCGACAAGTGTAGTTCTAATATTCAGACTAAACAACATTGGGACGAGGCCCAAATGTCCTCAAAAATTCAGCCTCAAGACGCACCTCAGTGTTTTTCTTTGAATGAAATGCTGTCAGACTAAATCACTTTATGCTTCACAGGACCAATACTGTTCAAAACTCAGAGCTGCTTTTGAAAGGCCAGTCATCAGAAAGCAGACCCCGGTGGCCTCCGATTTTCTAATGCTTTCACTGTTGAGATGGATGCATTTGTTCAAATGGAAAAGTCAGGTAGGCAGTTTTGTTGTAGAAAAGAACTGAATATAATACATATTAGTTTACACATTAGTTTATCTTTAGATGATGGATAAAGAGTCAACGTTGCTTGAAAGCACTTTTCTAAGCACAGTGTTATATTTCACTACGTACGTAGAAAGCATCCTCATGGTGCTCAACTATTTATTGCTCCTTTTTACCCTCTCTCATACTTGTCATTTCTGTTTTTGTGGGGCATATTTGAGTTTAAAAGACTTTGTGTTTAATGTATTGATGATTATTGCATTTATTTTTGTGTTATGCATATCTAATGTACTTTAGAAACTGCTCATGATGAAGACTTTTTCCAAAGGGATTAAGTGTGTGCAGCTGAGTGGTACGTGCGTGTGTGCTTGTGTGTGATCACACTACTCCTTAATCACTTGTTCTCGCATTTATCTAATCAATTGTCTGTCAGTCTCTTTTTTCCGGCAGGGAGGGACATTGATCTTCAGGAGTCACCTCACACTCGTTACAATGTTCTCCGTCTTCATTAACACCTCCATTAGTCTCACATTGTTACTCTCTAACACAACAACACAAACAATACTTTGGCAACAACACGCATGGGGAGAGTGGAATAGACTATGGTATGCAACTTGGGAAGAATGAATGAAGAATGCATGCACAAACAAAAATACAGACATACATAAAAACAGATTAAACACAGTCAGCATATAATTTCATTTGATACATATATTCATATTTATTCAGCTAGCAGATGCTTTTATGCAAAGTAACTTACAAATGAGGAACATCACAAGTAATTTGTCATAAGAAGCAAAAATATTTATAGTATGCAATAGAGTGCTGCAGCCGTGACATCAAAACCCAGAAGACTTATTCACCATGGGTTACCTTGGGGTTTTTCAGTTTTAAGTAAACAAGGTCTGTGGTAAACATAATTTGATGATACTTGGACGATTTGCTCTACAATGTAAATTACACATACGCATAATGAAAACACAAATTTTGTAGCAGTAATGTATATTTTTTTTAAAACATAGGCCTATGTTTGTAATAAGTAACTACATTAGAACATTTGGGATGTGAGTGTGTGCATTTTACATTGTACAAATTGTCCAGTTATTGTCAAGTTATGTTTACTCTTACTATATGTTTACTGGGTTTTGATGACTGCAGCACTCTATGCCAAGTATAAACTACTAGAAATTCATTTGTACACAAGATAGAGCCAAATGTAACCAAATTGACAGGATTTTTAAACCTAAAAAATGTAAACCTCATTATCAACTGGGGAAAAAGAAACATAGAAAAGGAATGTGAAATATTTAAAATAAAGAAATATTTAACATTCTGCACTTTTTCAGTGTAATCTCATTAGTAATTTTAGGTGTTCATATGTAAAGTGTGTGTTCTAACTCACATACCTGTGACATTTGCCTAGACACTGAGAAATAGCAAACTGATATATAAACAACATCTAAAACACATTTTACGTATGAACAACTTCAGAGACATACAAATGTTTGCAACTCATTTTATGTTGATAGAATATTAAATTCATTGACTTAATAGGTCAAAAACCTGTGTATAATATTATATATTGACTAAAATGATAGTCTTCCTATTCTTTTTTTAAAAATTGGGTTTAGATTAAAGTCTTAAAAATTGTTGTAAAATGTACCTTTACATATTTATTTACATAATTATAATAGATATATTATAATAAAGGATTTTTAAACATTTCTAAAACTGTTAAGCATGTTATGCTTTCAATACATCCATACTGAGTTATATACAGAATTGTATGTGTAAATGGTATGTACAAATACCCTAGTGAAAAAAATATACTAAAATGTATACAAATACATTTACATATTTATGTGCTTAATAAAAATACCCTGCGATTTTACTTTTGGTATACTAAACTGGTATACTTAAAGTCCGCTAAATTGGAACAACTAATTTTGTACTTTAAGGGTTAGTTCACCCAAAAATGAAATTTAGGCTGCGTTTTACTCACCCCAGATCCTAGGTGTATATGACTTTCTTCTTTCAGACGAATCCAGTCGGAGTTATATAAAAAAATTGTCTTTGATCTTTCAAGCTCTATCATTGCAGTCAGCGGGTGTTGCAGTGCTTCAGTCCAAAAGAAGTGAAATAAAGTAGACACTTTTTTTATGCATGGGCGCTTTTTATTTAACTTCTTTTGGACTGAAGCAATGTAACACCCACTGACTGCAATGATAGAGCTTGAAAGATCAAAGACAAATTTTTATATAACTCCGACTGGATTCGTCTGAAAGAAGAAAATAATATACACCTAGGATGCCTCGGGGGTGAGTAAAACGCAGCCTAATTTTCATTTTTGAGTGAACTAACCCTTTAATTGTGCAGAAGTAGTGCTAAGGTCCAACTAAAGATATACTTAAGTATACTATATTTTATTGTGCTGAAATGGAACTATTGCAAGCATACTTCAGGTACACTTTAAATAACAGAGATCATACAATCCTTATTAATAGTGATATTAAAACACATTTTAAGAATAATATTAATAAATGTGCGTTGTGCAATAAAGAAATATTTCAAATAAAGTTAAATAAATAAGTTAATGGATTTGAAGTATAGAAATAAACTTATTTTAAATAAACCATACCATATCATCAAACAAATGTTTGTCATTCACCATGTGGACTTCTTTGTATAAAAGTGTTCTTGCTTCCTCACAAGTTGCTCTTTTGAACATTCTCAAATCATGCTGGAAAGCATGGATCAAGTCAACGTTTATTCATATAATGCTTTTCACAATCTTTCACAATTTTTTTAAAGGAGCCCTATTTGTGCAACAAACATGTAGAGTGTGCTGTCTTTAAACCATGAAGGACGTACCAAATGTGATGCATTTTCTCTAGCGGACTCTTGCACCCCACTTTACCTACAGGTTACATTCACACCTGCTGAGTAAAAGAAAGATTAAAAAAAAGAGCAAAGAGTGGTAGAAAGAGAGTGTCGTGGTGGAGACAGTGAGTGACCGCTGTAAGTGGATGTAACAACCTGCTGCTGTGAGAGGAATAAAAGCTCTAGTGTGAGCTCTTCTCCACTGAAGGGGAAATAACCCCTGCCTTCTCTGCTCATGTAATATTAAATATCTCTCCTTCCACTTCTCTCTCTGCCCCTCCTCTTTCTTGTAGGGCATGTGGAGAGGGCAGCATTTGTACTCCCTGTCTTTCATATCAGCTCTCTCTCCGGTTCCCTTACTCTCTCCATCGCTCTCTCGCTGTCTTTCCCTGAGTGTGCAAGAGGAGTTCGGGCAGCAGCTACGTCAGCCTTCAGCGGGCAGCTGAGGAGAGCTGTGGAACTTACATGTGTGTGTGTGTGTCTCTCTCACTCATCCTTCTCTCACAGTCTCCAGCTCATGCCTCTACTCTCTCTGGAATCTACGACTGTGGCACATCCTGGGGCACTGATACGGCGAACAAAGCACCTCCTCTCACCATCTGCACTCTACTACTCAAACAGCAGCAGACCAAAGCACAAACCAAGGAGAAAAGAAGGAGAGAGTGGAAGCAAAGGATGGAAGAGAAGAAGAGAGAGATGGGAATCTGAGGAAAAAGTGCGGAGGTAGGAGAGACTGATGGACAGAGTAGAAAAAGTGAGCAAAGGAATAGTATTGGAAAAATGAAACAGAAATGAAGTGAGGAACGCAGAGCTGATAAAGGTTAAACTGATAAGAGAAATATTTGTTATAAATAGGACGTAGCTGGGTCCGGGAGAGAATAACAACCTTAGAGAGAGAAGATTTAGGAAAAATATTTTCTAACAGTCACAGTGTTGTAGAATAGCTGGTGAAACGGAAAAGAGCAAAGGCTCAAGGAGAGATCAGCAGAAGGGATCAGAATCATTTGCAAAGGACTCTTCACACACAGCCCTGGCCAACCTCACGCCCATCGAATTTGTTTGTAAAATCAAGTTTGCTGAGGGCAACGAAGCCAACGGGGCCTCGACAGAAGGAGGCGGAACGGTTATGCTAGATGAAGGCCTTCGGCGGCAAAAAGGAGGCATGGCTGACCTGGCATCCTTTGCAAGCTCCTCTTCGCTACACGGTCTGGCTCGGGTATTGGGGACCTCAGGGCGCATGGGCTTCAGACAGACCCTTTGGGGACTGGCACTGTTGGTCTCGCTTGGTCTCTTCCTGTACCAAGCGACATGGAGCACGGCGACTTATCTAGAGCGACCCCACCTCGCAGCTATGAGGGAAGAAACCCGCCGTGAGCTCACCTTCCCAGCCATTACCCTCTGTAACGTCAACCGATTTCGCTTCTCAGCCCTCACCGATGCGGACATCTACCACTTGGCTAACCTCACCGGCCTGCCGCCCAAGAGCCGTAAAGGACACCGGCCAAGTGAGCTCCAGTACCCACCCCCTGACATGCTAGACATTTTCCAGAGGACTGGCCACCAGCTGGAAGACATGCTGAAGAGTTGCAACTTCAGCGGGCAGAACTGCTCAAGTGAAGACTTCAGCGTGGTGAGTAGCACAGGCTATGATTGTGAAGGGATTAAGTTTATTTGTGTGGCTTGAAAATCTTCTCTTTGCATGCCTCTCTTTGTTTGGTGACTCTGAGCAAAATTTTATAATGCCTCCTTCAGTCTTTTCTTTATGAGAGACAGCTAACAGCTAAATGATTTGTTTGGAATGAGGAAATGAAGTCCCATCCATCTGTGTCTAACCTCCATGCTGGGGCAACAGACAGTTGAACGATGCAGTTATTTGCCATCTTAATTCAAGATCTGCCATATTTCTCTCTCCCCGCTTGCTACATCCCTTTCTTTTCCTGTTACGTCACAGTCTGTCCCATCTGATGTTGAGTCTTATTTTGGCCAGAGAATAGATGAAAAATTCAGGAGAGGGACAAGCGACATGATTCCTGCATTAGCCCAATCAGCCTTGAGGAGACATGAGCTCAACACTTCAAAGAAAGTTCCTTTCCTTACGTTGACATTTTCTTACTTGTCACGATGGTGCAGTTCTCTGTAGTTTTGCTGTTGTTGTAATTTCAGTCAGTAATTTCCTCTTAGGGCTCTAACAGTCTAAACAGGAATAGATGAGAGATATCCTTGATATATAGACCATGAGACTTCTGTCAAGGATATCAGCTCTCTCTAGAATTCGAGCCCTCCTCATATAACTAACTTACTCTTTTTCTCTTCTCTGCTACCTCCTTCACTCTTTTTAGTCTTGGTTTCTTATGCAGAGTTTTGAAATATAATCCTTTACTATGTGATTTCATGGGATTCAGTATCAAAGGCTGAGGCTAGTGATTTACTGTATTATCCTGTTCACAAATTTGTTTGCCAGTATGTATACATTTTCATTGTGCCCCATGACCCTGGAATTACCAGAATTTCTAGTTTCTCTTTTCATATGGATATGCGCATCCAAATTGCTGCAGTTTTGTGCATATTGCTGACAGTCTATTTGTCAGTGATTGACATCGTAACCTGCCCTTATGAAAGTATTTTCCCATGTGCATTTAGGAGAGCTATAGTCAAGAGACGTCCTATTCTACAGATCTACAGTATTTTAAATCAGCTTGTGTTTACCAAAACCTTTGGAAATAGAAATCTTAAAGTAATCTTAATGTTGTATTTTAATTATTACATTATTTAAGAGATTTGCATTATTATTAATTTTATTATTGTCACAAGGATAATGGAAAAAAAGATTTTTAGCAAACGTCAGAATGTGAGAAAGTTGCTGTCCATTTGTATGTCTTTGGCTTGATTTACTCATTTAGATACATCAAAACAATTGCATTGGTCGACAGACTTACATTTGCACATTGGGATTTAACCCCTATATTATGTTGCAATTGTGAAAACTGCTGCCAGTTGCTGTGTTATTCAATTACCAAAGCCAAATTTCACTCACATTTGGTGCTTGTTAGTTAGTTTTCAGTGTTGTGTTTGTTCTGTTGACATTCTATTTAGTTTCATGCTCTTAAGAAGTCACTAGCAGCTGTGATCTCTCTGATGTCTTCAGATCTTGAAACGTCCTTATTAGGCTTCTTTGTTGCTCAGTTATGATTTACTGTTTTGTCAACAGGTCATGTAGTAGTGCCGGAACACATTTAATACAGTACCTGGGAGGTTAACACATCATAGTTTTGACATAAAGCCCTTGTTATGTTCTGACATTGCAGCAGGATGTCATAGTCTTAAAGTCTGCAGAATTTGAGGTTGCTTGATGCAATAATACATCTGTAGACATCTCAGTGCACAGATATGAAATAGTGCTACTATACTATTTGTTATTTAAAAATTAGGGCATTCTGTCAAAATAAATTTTAGTGTCTGTAGATTAGTGCTTTAAAACTGAAAGAAGTTCCATGTGAGATGAGACTGAACATAAAAATATTCTGTGTCATCAATACAATCAATTGCTTAGATTGTTGTGCCATATTGGAATGAGCTATGACAGCCTATCTATTTAAAAATTTACCTGCCTGTGAAAATTTACAGTGACTGATGGCTTTAATGCCAGATTTTTTGGATTAGTTTTTTTTCCCCTGTCAAATCGGACAGTTCTTTTCAAGAATAATGCTTTTGTCAAAAGTCTGTTCTGCGTTATGGTAAACCACAGTCACATCTGATGATAACCAGAAGTGCCAAATGTAAGCCTGTTTTGGCATAAACTATTGTTATCTGGTAGTTTTTGTATCTTTTAAATTACTGGATGATCTAGTGCTGAATAAATGTGCATTCATTCAATTTCATCCATCTAAAGCTTTTTAAAATCAATATTCAGTAGAGATGTGAGATAGACCTCTCTACATGCCAAACGTTCTCTACATTACAAGTCGATCTATCTGTTCTCCTTCTGAGATCGTAATGGCCCTTTTTATGGCTCTTACACAAAAATTGTGCCCGTCTAGTTGTCCATCTCTTTGGATAAACCGATTAAAGAGCCTTTAAAATCTTTTTTTTTTTTCAGTACCAAAAATAGACTGCTGTAACGGCTTAAGGGCGACAAACCGTGTGTGAACTCTTTGTTGACACTCTCATTGACCAATAAAAGAGTGTGTGTAATCAAACCTTATGCAATCCACCGGTCACTTCTAAAGAATTACCATCATGTTATTTAGAATCAATGAACACCTATGTCAGTTTAAACAGGATTAATATTTGCCACTTAAAGCAAAACAAGTAATGTTCAAGGATATTTAATAATAATGACAATAGGCATAATAATAATGCAATATAAACAATATAAAATTATATTACAATATATAGATGTAAATATAGTCAGATATTTTTCAATATATAATGTAATATATTAATATAATATATTATTCTGTATATTTTCAAAATACATTAAATAAATGAACACATGGATGTCAGTATACAAGGAAGTATAGTTTTGCTGCTTGATATTGCAAACTCATGTGCTTTACCATATTATTTGAATGTATTAACTTTACACACTGGTTTTTATTGTTTACTGCACTTTGTTATTCTTCTCGTTATTTCCCTACCGTGGCTAATGAACCAGAAGTCTCGCACATTCACAGAAAACGGCTTACTTCCGTGTTTAAAAATAAGGTGGATAATAACCCCTACAAATACAACTCATTATATATTTTCTCTGTTTTGGAAGGATGAACAATGTTAAATTAAACTATATTTATTGCATCAAAATGCGTTAATAGTCTACTTTACTATAGGTTAGGGGTGGATATTTTTATCAGTTGTTTATTATCCATGCAAAAATACATATTACTATTTTCATTGATAACCCTTGCTATATTGATGATAACTTTGTGTAATGCTCTTATGAATGTTTTTAGCATGACTTTGTGAAAATTTAACTACTAACATTATACTGAAATAACTAGCATAGACTTCTTCATGGCTAATAGTATGATCAAACCGTGTGATCATTTAGCCTACATATCGACTGTTTGCGAATATATTCTCAAGAAGAAAATGACGTTTTGCCTATATTTCATACTTTTAGAATTAATCGGCTAACATTAGAGAAGCAAGTCACAAGGTAACACGTTTATAACGTAAATTATTTATATACAGCTTTTCGATTACAGAATAAAGTTTCTATTTTATATACTGTTGCAATAAAATATCGGCTAGTGGACGCAAGTCATTCACAGTAAGTTAATACTTGCAGTGTTTCAAATAGAATATAACGTTTAAATTTCATTCACTATTACAATCAAATAAGAAATCAAGTCACATGTTTCCAAAGTAATTCTATGAGAAAATAACAGCGAAAACAATGAGGAAACAAGGTTAAGTTATTACATCCATCGAATGAGACATCAGCTAGTCTCTGACGAAAATGTGCCATGTTTTTACTATAGTAAATACAGTTTAATGATAGTGTTTGTAATTAAACCATAGCACCCAGTAAACAATTTGATCTCACAATGATGTCACCATGAGCTCACGATTCTCATGGTGTGGTCACAATGTGTGTGTCACAGTGAGCTAAAAGTGTAACCACACAGTGCACTCACTGTGTGCTCATACTGTGGTCGCAATGTGAGGTCACTGCACACTCACTGTGCGCTCATACTGTGGTCGCAATGTGAGGTCACTGCACACTCACTGTGGTCGCAATGTGAGGTCACTGCACACTCACTGTGCGCTCATACTGTGGTCGCAATGTGAGGTCACTGCACACTCACTGTGCGCTCATACTGTGGTCGCAATGTGAGGTCACTGCACCCTCACTGTGGTCGCAATGTGAGGTCTCAGCACACTCACTGTGCGCTCATACTGTGGTCACAATGTGAGTGCACTGCACACTCACTATGGGCGCAAAGTGAGGTCACTGCACCCTCACTGTGGTCGCAATGTGAGGTCTCAGCACACTCACTGTGCGCTCATACTGTGGTCCCAATGTGTGTGTGTGTGTTCATATTGTAAGCTCAACATGTGAGACCACTGTCATATCATTGTGTTAAACTCATTCTGTTAGTTTAGTGTGAGTTAACTGTGATCTAAAATGTATCTAATATTGGCCAGTAATATCACATACATGTAGAATTTCATCTTTTATTTCCTTCAAAGTATTTCTACAATTCAGTTTCCTTGTTTACTTTCAGTTTGGTGTTACATTTGACACAAACATTTAAATTTGACACATTCTGCTTCTGGTGTTGTTTTGGTGACTCCTTTTTGATTCTTAACTTCTATTTCTTTGTCCCTTTGGAAAGACTTGACACATCCTGAAACACAGAGAACAATATGTCATTGCAATCAGTTGCTAACAACCGAACAGGTGAAAATAACTATTAGTTAAACTAAATATGAAACAAATCATGCATCAATGCTTCCACAAAACATGCTTGTATAGTTATTGAAATATGATCCCGAGTTAGTAATGTAGTCTAGTAATGACCTGATATGGGAAGTATAACAAATTATAAATACTGATATGCAACCTAAAGCCAGGGACACACTTAACGACTAACTGAATCATTCTAAGACTGAACTGAACACAATAAT